GTCCTTCCATTGATGGTTTTTATGGTTTTCCTGTGGAAAAAGCACCTTCCAGGGATCGTTTTCTGTTATTTGTCAGCTTGTAATGCAAGTAATATAAATGTGCCATCTAAACATCCTCCAGCACAGGACCATATCTTTGAATAATCAGAGAAATCTTTGGGGGGGTTGGGAGTGTATTTTTAATTGACAGTAATGGGAACCTTTTGTTTTTAATGCAGAAAAAGGCAAAACAAAGAGGCCAACTTGTCATCACCTTGTGCTATCAGCTGATGCCCCACGGAGCTGTCAGCTGATGCCAGGTCAAACCTTCCACTGTTTGTAGCCAGGGAAGGATCAGCTTTCTGGGGTTTTCCAGTTCCTACTCTCCTCTCCTGGCACAGATTCAAGGCTGTGTTTTTATATCTCCATGGCTCTTAAAACTTAAGTACTTGGCCACAGACACAAGGAAACCCAACACAACATCAAGTCCCAGGCTTGACACTCTGATTACCAATTTTGGTCAGTAGAAACTGTCTTCACTTTCATTTGTCCTTGGCTGTATATTTAAGATAAGGTTTACTGTACTGAAGACACACTTAGATGTGGCAGGAGGGTTTTCAGATTCTTTAATTTATTAGAATATTGGAAATAATGTTTTAATGTTTTTTTAAAATAAATTCTATTTTACTTACATAATTAAAAGTTCATAAAAAATATATACAAACATCAGAGAAACACGTAGCTCTTATCTACCTGCGCCTTATCGGAGATGTGGTTTTTGGCTTAATTCTCTAAAATAGGGAGCATTTGAACAGAAGCAGAAAGGAGGGATGAGGTGGAATTATAATAGATCTGGTTTGCTCTCCCGCTTGGGCTGTGTCCTGGGCCTCTGAGCAACAACATCTGACTTTTTGGTGTTAATAAAGTGTCTGTGATTATTAAATCATATGTCCTTCCATGGTGGAGGGATGGGGAACAGTTGCAGGGTACTATGGTTTAGATGTGAGAGGTTCTCCCAAAATTCATGTGCTAGAGGCTTGTCCATGAAACAGCAGCATTGAGATGTTGGAACCTTTAAGAGTGAAAGGTCCTTAGGTCACTGAGGGCCCCACTGAGGGATCAGGTACCTCTCTGGGGAACCCTGAGTTCTGGTGAAAGGGCTGTTATAAAAGGAGCAAGCGTGGCACCACCCAGATCCCTGTACTTCCTGACTTGAGATGTGAAGCTTCCTCCCACATTCTCTACCCCGTCCACCACAAGGCCTCCCAAGATCCTGTGCCATGCCGTTTGCACTTTGAAACTCCAAATTGTGAGTTAAACAAACCTTCTGTCTTCATAAGGTCTGCTTCAAGTATTTCATTAAAAACAGATCTCTCAAAAACCAGATCTACCCTCTTTTACATGTAGAGCAGAGAGGGCAAGTGGGATGATTTTGTCTTCCAGGGGACTTCTGATTTCCTATCTAATAGGTAAAAGCCAGGATGCTGTTAAAAACATCCTATAGTGCTCCAAACCACCCCCTAGGATAAAGAATTACCCAGCGCAAACGTCATCATTTCTGCTACTGGAAGCAGTTCTCTGATGGAGAACAAAAGTCACTCGCAGCTGTGCCACCTGTACTGCTACTGTGAAGCCCTGTCCATCTTCTCTTTCACTCCCCATGAACATCAGGACTCATATTTTATCTTCTCTGTTCATGAAGTCTTTACATCAGTTTCGATGACTGCCTCTGAGAAATATCATGAATAGTCACACATCATTAGAGTCATTCTAGAATCTTCTAGGTAGCAAGAGTCTGGACAGCCAAATAAATAAAAGGAATTCTCATTTTTTTTCATCGGCTCAATCATCCTACTGTAAAGCCTGAGTGCTCCTGACCCAGAACTCTCACCTGCCTGGGTCTAGAAAACATGGCTGACTTTCCTCAGTGTGACCCATCTTCCCAAACCTTACATTGTGCTTAATTTGCTTACCTGCAGTTTCAACACCTGCTTAACCCACCTTGTCCCCACTTTCCTCACCAGGCTAGCTGCTCACATCAGCATGGTAAACACAATGTGCCATTGGGTTACCAGGGTGACAAATGATGGCAACATCAACAGGCTGCTCAAGAAAACTGCCAGCTGATGTTTTGATTTTAATCACATTGGTTAAACTATAACGAACTATTGAGACTCTAAACACTACAATGTGCAAAGGGGGAAAAGCACACACACACACTGAAAGTAACAATACAGAAACATTCTAATTGTGATAATATAATAAACGACTTCTGAATACTGACAATGGAGATCAGAGGAGATAGCTCAGTGGTAGAGCATTTGCTCAGCGTGTGCAGGGACCTGGGTTCAATTCCCAGCACAGCAAAGGGAAAAAAAAAAAAGTCCACAAATATTAACATTGGAAAACTTAGAACTGTGATATAAAAACAGTCCATTATCAAAGGATCTGTTTCAAAGCTTAGTGATACAATGGAGTCTCATTCAGCCATAAAGAAGAATTAAATTTTTTTGTCATTTGTAGGAAAATGGATGGAACCTAAGAGCCTTATGTCAGTGAAATAAGCCAAATGCAGAAAGTTAAGGGTTGTATTTTTCCCCCTCTAGTATGTGGAAGCTAGAGAGGATAAAGGAAAAGAAAGGTGGGACATAGGGGTTTCACATGAAAATAAAAAGGTGACCAGTAGAGGTAGAGGTAGAGGCTGCAAAGCACAATAGTTAACAGCACAGGCTCCAGCACCAGGCTATTTGGATTCAGAACTGATCCCCAACTTGGAACCTGTGATCTTAGTGAATTGACTTCATCTCTTTATGCTTCTCTTTTCTTATCTGCAAATCATAGATAATAAACTAGCTCGCCTCAGAGGGCTACTATCAGAATTAATTAAGTTATATTTAGAAATATGTACATAGTACACAGTCAACATCGTGAGTTTATAAAGGAAATAATTAGCAACATTTTTAAAAATATTAAGTAAGTAAACAAGTAGGCCTTTTGTAAGTCAAGAGTCATGTTTTTCATTCTTCCAGGCACAGGGCCCCAAATGTTTCCCACTCTCACTAAGTAAATATATGAAGAAGAATAGCCTAGATGGTCATTCTGGTCCAAAATTGGTTGATCTTTCTATAAGAAACACTTTAACCTAACAGTAAGACCACTTCTAAAATAGTCAAAGGGAAGGAAAAAATAAGTAACAACATAAAAATATTAAAAGTACTGTTTATAGATAAATAATAGCAATGATAAAAATTAATACAAACAATGATATGACAATATGAAAATACTGCATTCATGAAGTAGGTTAAAAACCCAAATGATTTAAAGTCCTTAATATGAACCATCATGAATCGTAAGAAAACTTAAATGAAACCCTAAGAAAATTCTTAGCTCCCAATAATCATCAAAGCATGCCTTCAAATTTAAATTCTGTGCTCTAGTAAACGTAACTCCTAAGACCAAACTTTCATGAGAAGGCAAGCCGACCCACAGCCCTACATGGAAACCCAGCCATTCAATTCACAAAGCACAGGGCCAGTGTTGCAGAACTTACATCAGACCTTTTCTTTTGTCAGGAAAAAAAAAAAAAAAAAACAAATTCAGATCCTTTTTTAGAGTCTTAATCTTAAAAAGACCGTGCAACAGGGAAAAGCTCCAAAGACTTAAGACTTTCAAGTGTCTCAAAAATCAATCAGAGGCCTTCCTTTATCGGGACAGACAAGTAAACCAGCAGGAACATTGAGGGAAATCGAGCAAACAAATGTGTGTACACAGATGGCACAATCAGGCTATGTCACCAGTTCTCAGGATGTTCTGCATCTCGGTGCTTGCTCAGACTGGGGGCAAGCTGAAGTTCAAGAGTCCACGAGGAGAAGAAACGACACACTGAAGTTTTCTCTTTGTAACAGTAAGACTGGTTTTAATTGCATTCTTAGAATAAAAGGGTTGCTAGGTTTTAAATCCTCCAAACAGGTCAAGTAAATAACCAGCCTGGTATCAATTTAAAAGGCCATTTCTTGCTGTTCCATACGACTAGCTGTTCCAATACGTGAAGGATACCTGCTGCCCACACGGCCAGACTGGCCAAAGAATTTGCAAACTTACGTCTTCATATGAATCTCTCTTATGGAAACACCTCATCTTAAGGAGGTAACCAAAAACCAGAACTTGAAAAAAGTAAAGCAACAAGTAACAACACAGATATGTTGTAGTTATTTTTTTAAAAGAATAAATTCCAAATATCAGAAGGGGGACATTTGGAAACCAAAAGAACTGCAGGGTTATAAAAATGTTCTACCCAACATTGATATGACCCCTGCTAGTCACATGAAACACAAGTAGAGAAAGATTTCACACATGGAAGGAAACCATTATAAACTGGACATAAAAGTAGAAAATACCGGTTATTGATTTAATAAACAGGTTTTAAATATTTCAAATTCGAATTGTACTATTTTGTAAGACAGTTGTTACTAAAGCAGACCACTGTTACTACTTTAAAGAACTCTCCAATGACTTTTGAGGTCCTGGAATCCAAAGCTGTGAAAGAGCAAGCAGAAAAAGCAGAGCTGAGTCTGGCTTGGGGATTCTTGACTGGTTTTCCCACAGCTCTGTCTGTGACTTATCTCAGACCATCATTAGTCACTCTGGCTAAATGGTTTCCAGAAGACAGATGAGTTCTCCCCTCAGTGTAGCATGGTTCTAAAGGATATACCAGCAGGAACTAATGAAAGAAAGCATAAGAGAATCTGCAAACCTCAATTAATCCTCCCCTTCCCACAGGTGACCCTCTTTCAAAAAGGCTTTCTCAGACCAAGCAGGTCTGGAACAGCCTCCACCTCCCTGAAGCCAAAGCACGAAGTGTTACTCACAGGGTAGTAGACTTGGGTTACGTGTACACTTCTCCCACCAAGCCAGGAACAGGGATTAGAACTTGATGAGTCAGAGAACACTGGCTTAGTTAAATAATGTTTAAAAAAACAAAATTTGTTGGCATTGTAGTATTTGAAACATGATATGTTTACCTGTCAGTGATATGCTATGAATCTCCAAGGACAGGTTAGAGTATTTTGTCATCATTTCTTCTCCAACAAGATTTGTAAAAGCTGAATCTGTAAGAGAAAAAACATGGGATCAGACATCTCATCAAGACTAAATGACTATCTGAAAGTCAGTTTGTAACAGCTAAAATGCCATTGTACACTACTATGGATAAATAACATTTTTTTCAGGATTATATTAGGCTATTAAATGTAACCAAATTTCTGATTTTTTTTTTCTGTTTCTTACTTACCTAAATGTACTGGGTATTTACTCAGACAGCTGTTTTCTTTAATAAATACCTCCATTTTCTTATTCTACAATTACAGATCCCTTTAAAAACATAAATGAATTGAAAACACTGAAGAATTAGATAATAGTGACAGAAAAGGAAATGACAGAATGAGGCAAAGCAAGCAGGACATGGTGGCACATGCCTATAATACTGAGGTTGAGGCAGGAGGATCACAAGTTTGAGGCTAGCCTCAGCAACTTAGGAGGCACTGTCTCAAATAATAATAATAATAATAATAATAATAATAATAATAATAATAAATTAAAGCAGAATTAGGAATATAGCTCAAAAACAAAGCACACCTGGGTTCAATCCCCAGCACCAAAAAAGAAAAGAATGAGGCAAAGAGAGATGAGAGAACAAAAAGTGATGAAGGGACTATAACAAAGGACAAGAGAAAATAAACAAAATAAAAACTTTGGGCATTAGAGGCAGAGGACAAAATGGCTGCATGTGAGATTGTTTTCCAGCTATGGTTATAGTGTAGCATGCCCTTTAGCAACCCACTTCCCTTTCCTCTGTCACTGGGTTTGAAAATTTTCATGAAAGAAACAAGGTTTCCATTTTTACCACACTCTCTCTTCAAAGCCTCCCCCTCTGCCCTCCCTCCTTCTTTCACAGCCTCTTGCTTCTTTGAGTAGTAGACCTCACCCTAGCAAAACTCCAACAAACTCTGAACAAGTCAGAGAAGAAAACAAGACTTCTCAACTTGGCTGCATTCTGAAATCTTCATTCAATTTAAATTAAACCTGAGCCTTTTTTTATTGCACTTTTTAAAAACACTCAGTAAGTTATTTCTAATGCAAGATTAGATTTCCAGTCTTTTCCTTTTCCTAAAGGTATGAAAAATGTTATCAAAGTATATCACCTTTTTCACTTAAATTTTACACATGGCTTAAAACACTGCCTAATAAAAGCATGTATCTACAGAACCTAATTCTCCAATAAGCTGTTTAAAGGTTTAATCATTTCAAAATGATTAAACCTTTCTTATCATCTTTAATAACATATTTAAGTCATCCTGTCCTTTGACAGTGATTATATAGAAAAATATGTCCTGAGTTTCTCACTGGACTCCCAGAGATGGAAAACCTCTTCTCCACCCACACCTAATATTTATTCATTCACGTTCATATTCTCTCTCCCACCCACTTCCAAAAGCAACATGGGGCAAAGGCATGGGGATAGCTTGCTAAAAGGGCTCCCATTAATATTCTCTTCTTAATAAAGATTCTGGGTTTTCTTTTTTTCTTTCCATTCCAGGACATAGCTCATTTAGAGGTTGTTTGAAAGAAAAAATACCTCAGGAAAATCAAGGCAGATACCACTCACTCATGGATAAAGAAAAGAGCTCTTCTGTATATTATCAATCTGTGAAGTTTATAAAATAAAGTTTGGGTATCTGCTTCCTTGCTAGGGAAACCTCCTTTCTTGGTCTATCCTACTATGGAACAGGATGCAATGGTGAAGGTTATTAACACACTCCTCATCCTGAAACAAGCCCAAACCCCTTTTGAGATCATCAAACATCAGTTGTTGTTGTTGTTGTTGTTCACAGTCTCAGTAACAATAAGAGAATGACATATGCTTAAAAAGTGATTTCTGGGGGCTGGGATTGTGGCTCAGTGGTACAGCACTTGCCTTGCATGCGCGAGATACTGAATTCATTCCCTAGCACCACATTAAAAAAAAAAAAAAACTAAATAAACAAAATAAAGGTATTGTCCTCATCTACAACTAAAAATATTTTTAAATGATTTATGTCTCTCTTATTTCTATTTCATATAAATAAGTTAACATATAAAGCACCTGACACATGTTTAATGCTGATGAGGAGTAAGAAATAGAGTGAACTTAGATTTTGCCCAAGCTAAGGCTAGATCCCTTTTTTCTGCTTGTTGGAATGTAGATCCTAGATGGGTTCTTCTGTCAAGAGGTCCCTGTTTGGTACATCATTCATAACGGTAGCTGATAGGGCCACAATTTGTGATTGAGTCATTAAGATTTCAGAGTCACACTAATTCACTATCACCATCCACCAGCCTGTGTGTTTCACACATGCTGACCTCTAGGCTGGACAGTAAGAAGCCTGAGCCTGGCAGTGGATGAGGGTGAAGGTGAGGCCAAAGAAGGCTGGAGCTCCCTTCCTTTTAACTCAGGACCTGTTAGGGAAGAACCCATCTAGGGTCTACCTTCTAGGAAGCAGAGAAAAGGATCTAAGCTGAGCCTGGGCAAAATCTAAGCTGACACCAGTCAAAGGAATAGGAGAGGAAAGAAAAAGCAAGCTTCAAGGATAGTTCCAGAATATTCTAGCTGTTTTGCCAACTTTAAATTTCCAGTCCATATATTAGAAGGACAATCACACATCCACAAACCTGGCACCACTTACTCCAACTTCACATCCTCTTTAAAAACATCAATCCTCACCAGGTTCCAGTTTCCACTGAACAATCCCCAAGTACAAAAAAACACACATATAACCAATATGATTTCTGCTTTCCTTTTAAGAGGCAATCTGCACACCCGCCATGATCAGGGCAAGAGCTGTTAGAATAGTAAAGTGAGAAGTTCTTTGTTTAGACACTTTTTGACCAAAAGAGTGAGAACATAAACCTTTTTGCTTTCAGTAGGAGGACAGCTTGCAGGAGAGTGGCTCAGCTAACTCTGGTATATAAAGAAAACTGGCAGGAGATTCAGGCAGATGTGGTTTGAATATTTCCCTGAGAGGATTAGGCTAAGTCACATAAAGACGTGTAACATGGAGAGGTGGGAATTTTGTGTTCCAATCCAAGTTCTGCCAGTTACCCACTACTTGGGGTTTCAAAATATGATACATCCAGCTCAGTGCTTTGATGTTCTCTTTCCACTATAAACCTCATCTCATAGGGGGAAAAAAAAGGGAGGGAGAAAAAGGGAGGATTGGAAAAGTTGTGTAAACACTGAGAGATGAAGCCAAGATCATGGTGCACATTCTTTAAGTTATCATAATCATGCCTTTCTTAATCCTCACTGGAAGTTTTCCACCTGGCACTCTTTTACAGATAGTGGCCAAAATGCCAACAGCCAACATAAAAGAGTAACATCTAGGGCTAGGGTTGTGGCTCAGTGGTAGAGCAATTGCCTAGTATATGTGAGGCACTGGGTTTGATTCTTAGCACTGCACGTAAATAAAAAAATAAAATAAAGGTCCATCAACAACTAATAAAAATATTTTTAAAAAAAGATTAACACCTAATAGTTATTCCAGAAATTAGAAGATTTCTTTTTGTCCTTCAACAGAAGCTGGGACATGAGAGTATTACATCAAAGAATTGAGTAACAACCCAATTTTCACCTATTATTACTTTATGTCAAAGAGCAAAATGGTCAACACTTAGATGTGTTTCACATATTACCTTTTAAAATTGCTGGAGGGGCTTATGATTTATGCTATTAATACTTTCAAATAAATAATTTTGCCATTATCTACCCAAAATATTAAGGTAACATTTTTACCAATTTAATTTTGGGGCTTCATTTAATTGAATCAAATTGGGAAGGACCAAAGGGAAGAGTATGAAGTTCATCTATGAAACGGTCAAAGATGGGACTGGGAGTATATAGCTCAGTGGTAAAACGCTTGCCTAGCATGTGCAAGTTCTTGGGTTCCATCCTTAACAACACAAAAGAAAAAAGAAAAAGAAAGCATAGATCATTATTAAAATAAATAGAATTTTTTTAAAAATTTTCACCTATATGCTGATTGCTATCAATATACATAATTTAAATTATTTTAATAATTTCTCATTTTAACATTCTAATACTTAGCATTGTAAATGTGCAACCCAATTATAAAAGCAGTACAATTTAGGAATCAATCATATATACTTTATATAAAACAAAGGTTTAGAAATCAGAATATATTTTTTTCCATAGGAACAATACTGTATATAACCATGAGAGCCCATGACCAGTGGTAAAAAGCCATTTAAGCCAGGACAGTTTTAAAACACCTAATTACCAAGAAAAAATGTTGCCTATAAACAATATATTTAGAACTGCATGAAATAGTCCTAGCCCTTGTCTATAACTATAATAATAGAAAGAAAAGAAGGGAGAGAGTAAGGCTACTTTGGGTCCTGGGCATTATTCTCCAGTGGGATTTTTGTCAAGAAAAGAGATGTGTCAAGAAACATAAGCAAGTTATCCTGATGGGGCCATTTATAAGTCAGCCCTTATAAGTCAGAGAGAGATAACAGCCCAGATAAGGAATGGATAGTTTTTATATAATATCAGGAAACTACTGGGCAAGAAAGCCATTTACAAGCAAATTAAAAGAAAAAAAAAAACCCTAATGACAAGTGCAATGTTTACTCTTATACAGCCTTACAAAACATTCTACAACAACAGTCCCCCACAACAAAGGATTATCCAGTCCAGAATGTCAGTGACCCAAAGCTGAGAAACCTTGATTCTGAACACACATACCCTCAACCTTGATTCTTCAAAAGTCCTGTGACACTGTGGTCAGTCCTGTTCTACTTAGTTGAAGTATAAATATTTTAAAGCATGAACATTTCTTGCCACCTTCCCCCAACAACCACCACCTCCCACCAGGGGCCTATTTTGAGGGCCTTTTAAGAAGAAAAACCACATGTTGGATGGAGCCCTAAAATGCAAACCAGGAAACCAGAACAGCCATTAGCTAGCTCATTGCACTTGGCTAAGTCACAAAAGCACTTTGGGCTTCAAGATCAAACAAAATCCTTTCAGATTCTCAAAACTTTGTAACTATAA